TCTCTCTCTCTCCTCTCTCTCTATCTCTCTCTCTCTTTCTCTCTCTTTCTCTCTCTTTCTCTCGATAACACACACTCACACACACACACACACACACTAACACACACACACACACACACACACACACACACACTCACGTACACACAAGAACACACGCACACACACAGGTGACCGTTAGAGCAGATTCGACTGAACTTATTAAATTGGATCATCTTAAACCTTAACCGCAATGTGAGAAAAGCAATCAAATCAAGGTCACATATTAGCTAAACGAGCGTGCGCAGACAGTTTAAGTTCACAGAAAGTACTTACTGAGGAAGAAGTATATCAGCACTATCAGCTCCTACAGTTCGATTGGTTTTATCGCCAGTGTAAAACAACAACCAAATAATCCAGATTGCCGTTTTAATAATGATAGCAACATTTACAATTATCATAGCTAACCCCTCTCATGGCATGTTGATGTTCCTAATTAGGATTATATGGCTGGCTGTCTCTGCGATAAGTAAGGCTACGATTTTATACCCCTTTCACCACCACTTTTGATTTAAAGGCTATTTAAGAAACCGACCTGTGTCTGAAGGGGTCAATAAACCCTTATTCCTTCCAACTCCAACAGATGGTTTGCAAAGCTTCATAACAGCCCGCATAGCTGGTATATTCAGTTTGATTGCTGTCTTTGTCCTCCAAACGTGAGTGTGTGTGGGGATTGGGGGTGGGGGGCTGGGGGCACATACATTGCCACGGATTCTGAGGCTTTTACCACAATTGTTCAATTAGAGAATGCCAGGTGTCTTTCTTAAGGGTATATACCCACCTGTCAGCACTCTTTTCTTTACCCAAACGCATATATTATGGTGATCCAAAGACCCACCCCCCCAAAAAAAAAACCCACACAAAAAACAAAAACAACAACAAAAAAACAACAACAACAAACAACAACAACAAACAAACTAAACAACTTTATTGTAAATACTATTTTCCTCCACACCGAAGTTTTGTGCTTCAAATTTGTACACAACATGTTGAAGTCTGATATTCATTAAAAATAAATCCACAGAATAGTTTTTCTCTACATAGCTCCTAAAAACCCAACCTATTTTCAGCTATGTCCCCATTTTTTTTTGATAGCATGACGCACTAGTTCGCATTAGGCCAACCACTAAAAGTCCCAACAGTTGCGTCATATTGCAAGCTACACTAGTCTAACAGGCCAACAGAAGTTTGCAGATAGTTTTTCTTAAATTTCCTCAGCCTGTTGAGACCATGGTTAAGATTAGTAAAGAGCAGAGAGCGTTTTGTACTGAACATTTCCTCACCACCAACTCATTTCGTATGTTTTGCATAAGGTTCGGTTATAATGTTAAAGTATCCTTAAGGCCTCCTTTGATATCAAGGGTGAAAATTGTCCATCTGTTAGGACCTGCAGAGAATCAGAACTAAAAATTTTCAGACAGACTGACCACTTCAGGTCAAACACACACTGTTCGCTCCCCTTTAAACTTCACCAGGGTGCAGCATCCTCTAGACAAAACCCATGAGACATCCGTAGACAATAGGATTTTCCAGCATCTCAAAGGTTTGCATTCTCGAGGTAGATCTTCTTCTACGACAAAAACATTTTTCTGTTCGCGAAGCTGACATGGATCAGAGGATAGCAGTGTGTTCATGATTCCCCCATCGTTTTAAAAAGCGTGAACATTTCCTCTATGACATTTCCTTGGCAAAGCCCATAGTCACCTTTCAGGATATGTTAACTCCACAAATGCTGTCTATTTGCGCAACCTCACTCTACCCCCTATTGTTTCCAGACACAACTCCACACAGTAAAGTGTACAGTGTGTGTGGCTTTAAGTAATCCTGATTCGGTGAATCCTTGTGTTTGGCCACCACTGAACATTATGAACGACTCATTAAAACGTGTCGAGTCCAAAGAAGGACATATAGAACACTGGTTCTCGGAATTCCAAACTTTTACAAATTACAGGGGAATCTAAAAAAACAACCCAAAACTGTACAACTTTTTTGTTTGTATTTTCCTCTACACTGAAGTTTTGCGTTTAAAATTTGTACACAACATTTGAAAGTCAAAAGGAATTTGT